AAATGTTAGAACACACACACACACACACACACACACACACACACACACACACACACCCCAGTATGAAATGTTAGAGCATACCCACCTGTAAACGGTTACCTGGTAAGTTTGGAAACTAAATTCCAATTGTTGTGACCACACATTGTGACCACTGTGACTGTTTCCACAGTGTTTTATCCAGAAACCAAATCTACTGATCCATCACCATAGTCCAGGGAGCCACTGTATTAAAATGCAGGTTCCACACACTTTACGAGGACGACTGAGTCCAGGCATCTACAGAGGGGGCTCTGGTGGCATTGTCCATGGAAAGCGGCAGAACTACCCCAAAGGTGGTGGGTCTCTGGCTGTTTGGTTCCAACAGTGGCTCCACAGGAGAAAGATGGGTGCACTCCTGCACAGTAAAACCTCTGAAAACCACATGGAGAGTCCTCTCCGACTCAACAGCAATGAGTGTGAATTTAGTACCTACAGAGAAAGGTCTGGTGACACAGTCCGTAAGGGGCTGCTGAACCAAAGGCCATGCCACTCTGGTAGTTCAAATCCACTGGCAGTTAACTCCTTAGGATAAAGATGGGAAATTGCTTCCTGTATGGTTTACAGCCTCAGAAACCAAATGGAGGGCCAGCTATGAGTTGGTTCCAGTGTGATCAGGGGCAAAGAGCACGCGAGAGAAAAAGGTGTTATCTATTAGGGTGGGGTTCCTTGGAAACTGTGACACTGCCCAATCAAACAAAACATGTGGAGTATGTTGACAGAGTTGAATCTGGCACACAGTCACGCCATGAGTAAATCTGTGCTCTGAGGGGATTTTTTTGGGTTATGACTTTGTGGAAGGAAATTACCAGGTTTTTCCACAGTCCTGCGGGGATCGGTTCAAATCACTAACTTTTAGATTTATAGTTGAGTATAATAGTTTGGGCTACCCAAAGACGTTGACAGAGGACTGTTGTTATTAGGTTCTGTCAAGTGGATTATAGCACACCTATGTACAAAACCCTAAACCCTGCTTGGTCTTGTTCCATCCTCACACTTTTGCTGTGCCTAACCGTATACTTGTCTTTATTATTATTGTTGTTGTCATCAAGCCACCTATGACTCAGTGAACCTATGTACAGCAGCTCCGAACCCTGTCCTATCCTGAGCCAGTCTCACGGACTCTAACACACCAACCTCTATTGCCCAGTCACTGTATTAACATCTCATCAGGGGTCTTCTTCTCCTGCACTGTCCCTCCACCTTTTCAAACATGATGTCCTTCTCCAAGGATTAGTCCCTCTAGGCCACATGCCCAAAGTATGTGAGATGGAGCTTCAAAATACTAGCCTCTAAAGAGAAACCTGTCTCCAAGACAGACCTATTTGTTTTCTTGGCAGTCCATGATATGTTCAATACTCTTCTCCAACACCACAACTCAAAGGCATCAATTCTTCTTCTGCCATCCTTAGTCCACCTCTCTGATGCATAACAAGTAACTGTGAAGACCATGGACTGGATCAGGTGCACTGTAGTCTCTAAGACTGACATCATTGCTTCTCAGCACTCTGGAAAGGTTCCAGACAGCAGATTTACCTAATGTAATTAGTCTTGTGATTTTCTGACTGCTGATGTTAAGAGTGTTGATTGTGGAGCTGAGTAACCTGTAACTGTTACCAAACTCAACCTCTTCTCCATCCATCATGGTGCTGCCAATTGGCCTACTGGTAAGAATCTTTGTCTTCTTGATGTTGAGCTTCAATTAATATTGAAGACTATAGTCCTTGACCTTCTGCAGCAAGTGTCTCCTCAGTTTCAGCGAGCAAGATCCACCACCTTAGCAAGAAAGTACAGCCAGAATGCTTTCTTGGAGGAAAAGATGACAAAGCTTCATCTCATATACTTTTGGCATGTTGCTAGGAGAGGCTATTCCTTAGAGGGGGAGAGTATGGTTGAAAAGGTAGAGGGGCAGCAAAAGAGAAGACCCTCAACCACATGGACTGACAGAGCAATTGTATGTACAGAGATGGAGAGGATGGTATGGGATAGGACCGGGTTTAGATGTGTTATTCATAGGATTGCTATGATTCATACTTGACTTGATAGCCTCCAACAACCACCACTTCACCCAAACACAATTCAGGCTCTCCCAAGGAGCAAGCACGGTCAGCCAGAAACACGAGCATCCCAGTACCCTTGAGAGGCAACAGGTCAGTAGTTCTCACTCTTAAAAAACACCACAGTGCTACTATTTCTGGTTAGCACCTCTGGGTATGCTGATGAAATGAGTTCCAGATCCATAATGCTGAGGGCTGGACTCTGGTGGTTACCTCAGTTACTGCTGTTCCCCACGAGGTTCTGAGATGCACAACGGAAGCTTGCAGACACAGGCTGCCGTGCCTTCTGGGGGCAAAAGCTCAGTTGTTCCAGCTCTTACAGTTCTGAATCCTCCAATCACTGTCCAACCCACAAAATTTACCGCTTCATTTTAATATTAGCTATATTTGTTCTCTCAGTTGGCTGGTCTCTCCAACTTAACAGTGAACACCTCAGCTATGACTCATTTTTCTCTATCTCAACATTTTCACTGAGAATAAAGTAGATATACACACACAATGGCTTTGCTGGCTGACTTACATTTGGTTGCCACCAATAGGCTCAGCATCTGAAGAGCTAAGATGATATGGAAAAATGAACATAAAACCAAGAGACAAAAGATGTGAGTTCGAGTCCTGGTTTTGTCAGTCACTTAATATGTAGGGGACTCTCAGTCTCCCCCTTGTGAATGAAGATCACCTCATCTGTATTTAGAGGTGCAAAGGAGACAGTTCAAAGTAAATGGTAATATCCAGTAGAAAGGCTCACAGTCCTGGTAGCAATAGCTTTCCCAGAGGTTTCAAGTGCACTAATGAGGAACAGTCTAGAGGGTTGAGAGCCCCCACACCCCTCCTTTCCTCTAAGAGCTTCACACAGTGGTCAGGAGGACACTTTGCCAATTTAGACAAAGGGAGAAAAAGAATGGGCCCATCTGATGCCTTATCAAGATTTATCTGCCTCAAGGTTCTCTCATAAGACCCTTGCTGGCGTCGTGGTGAAGTGCTCTGCTTTGAATCAAAAGCTTGGCTGGTGCCTACCTAGCAGCTCCTCAGGAAAATCCAGCTGGTGAGAAGATTACACACAATCCTTCAGCTGACAGCCAGCAAGGAACTTGCTTACCCCACACTGCTCAGCGCTGCTGGCTGAGATAGGAGCCTTACCTGCGAGAGGTTCCTCTGCTCTTGGCCGGGCTGTGTGACGTTATCCCGGCCCACCCCCACATCTAGGTGGTTGAGAAGGTTCTTCAGCTGCTGCAGAGTGAGGCTGTCCCTCTCACCATAGCGATGCATCAGGTCCTGCAGGAAGGAGGCAGCAGTGATGGCTGGCGTGCCCTGGGACAAAGCGTGAACCTTAGGGGCAGCTCTCCAGAGGCCCAGCAGGGTCAGCAGGAAGCAGCCGGGGAGAGGCAGGTGCCGCAGCTTCATGGTGGCCAAATTAGCCTACGAGAGAAACAAGCCAGGTGGTGGTGAGGCTTTAAGGCAGCATCGCTCTCCTCCTATCTGTGCCAGTGAGTCGGCTGGTGACTGACTAGACTCCCCGGCCACAGTCCTGACACTGGGAAGTCCGTAATTCACTCCTCTTCTTCATACTCACAATCCAATCTGACTCAAAATTAACCAAACACTCACTCCCTGCCCTAATTCTTCTGCTTCTTAAGAAAAACACCTCCTTTGGAAAGGATAGCATAATAACTTACAATATATTCAACAGGTTTGACTAGATAAAAACTGACTGTTGTTTTTATTGTGTACTGTCAAGTCGGAACCGACCCATAGCTGACCCTCTGGCAGGCTTTTAGAGGTAGGTAATCGCACGGGAGAAAATCGCCCATCCTTCTCCCGCGGAGCAGCTAGTGGATTTGAACTGCATGCCTTCAGGATTGCAACACAGCTTCTTGCCACTAGGCCACTAGTGCTCCCTGATAAAACTGACTAGATAAAAAAAAAATATAAAACCAACAGAAATACAAAAAGCCATGTGGTTACATTAAGAAAAATGCAGCTGCTGCCCTGGTCTTTCAGAGATGAAAATGGAATAATTATGGATTAGAGACTATTTTCTCTGGGATCTATTTTGAAATAGTTAAGGATATAGACATGGGAGTATAAAATCACAAAACCAAAAGCCATCTAGTCACCATGGAGTCACCTCTGTCACAGCAGCAGTGTTTCCGGCCATTCACCACATGATAACATGGAGGAGGAAAAGTCCACCACGAAGAGAAAAGTGTAATGAATAGGAAACTGCGTGATATGCAAATGAGAAATCATGATGTAACTCCATCTACTTTTATTTTTTTGCTTGAATTTTAAAAATATGGGACACTACATGAATTTGCGTGTCATCCTCGTGCAGGGGCCATGCTAATCTCTGCACCATTCCCTTTTTAGTATATGTGCTGCCAAGCGAGCACTCCATCTACTTCTGCTGTCTGAAATCCTCCACAAAAAAAAGTTAACAAAAAACAAATACTATACTGAAAAGTGAGAAAGGAAGGAAAAAAAGACTGGGTAAAATAGACAAAGATTTCAGGGTAAACTGCATAAATCAGTGAAGGAATATGAAAAATATGAGAGTGTCTGAGACAGTGAGGTTGGCACAGGATAGAACGTTGTTTAGGGCTCTTGTACATAGGGTCTCTATGAGTCACAAGGGACTTGATGGCACATAACAACAACAACATACTAAAAGATGATTCTGCTGTCAGAGATCTCTCCAAGGCACTGAGGAGCAACAATGTCAGTCTGGAGACTAAGGTGCACCTGATATGGGCCATTGTCTTTGCCATTACTTGCTATGTATCAGAGAGCTGGACAATGACTAGGGATGATAGAAGGAGAGTTCATGCCTTTGAGCTGTGGCACTGGAGAAGAGTACTGAATATATCAAAGAACAAACAAGTTCGTCCTGGAGACAGTGAAGTCAGGCTGCTCCTTGGAGGCAAGGATTCTGAAGCTTCATCTGACATACTTTGGACATGTTGCAAAGAGGGACGTACCAGTCCTTGGAGAGGGAAGTCAGGGTTTAAGGCTATCGTACATAGGGTAGCTATGAGTCGCAAGCAACTGGACGGCACATAACAACAACATATTAAGAATACAAATTTAGAACACTGATGGTTGTTTCTTAATATAAATTTTTCTAAGTATACATATTGTTAATGAGATTCAACCACAGGTGGCCTAGTTGCAAGCTATGCTGCAATCCCAAAGGCACATGGTTTGAATCCATCAGCTGCTCCACGGGAGAAGGATGGGCAATTTCCTCCCATGTGATTTCCTGCCTCTAAAACCCCGCTGGAGGGTCAGCTATGGGTCGGTTCTGACTCTATAGCACACAACAACAACAGCAGTGGCTACATAAACAATGACTAAAAAATTATGTGACGGCAAAAATACTTAAATCCTCAAAACTAGTCGCAGTAATTCTACACTGAGATTTAACCTAATGTATGCAATGCTAAAATAAAAAGGCTATTTTGCATTATGGTGAAGTGAATCTATTCAACTTCATGGAATACCATGTAACTATAAAAAATAAGAATCAGATGTAAATCAATGATTATACAATGTCAAGTAAAAATAAGCAGAACAATTACATAATGGAGTTAAGGGAACAAGAAGGAACACAGGAAAATGAAAGATTAACCAAGAACTGCCAGAAGAACAAATAAATCTTAGAAGAAATACAGCCAGAATGTTCTGAGAAATGAGGATAGTGAGGCTTAGGCTCGCTTACTTTGGACACAACTTTAGAGAAGGACCAGTCGCTAGAAAAGGTCATCACGGTAGATAAAAGGGAGGGGAGGTGAAGACCAGGGAGGCCCTAAATGAGAGGGCCAGACATAGGGTCCAACAATGGACTCACCACGCACACAGAGCAGGACTTAGGTAATGCTTTGTTCTCTTACACGTAATGTGTATGAGCCTCGGCCAGCTTGATGGTAACCAACAAAGGCAAAGGTAACAGGACTGACGAGGATTTTTTCTTTTGTTAATCATTTCCCTTACTATAGTTATAATTTAGTGAAATACATAAAGAGAGGGGAATGATTCTCCCTTAATCCAGACTCTCTGGGTCCCAGCAGTCATTTCCTTTCTTCCCTAGACACTGGGGCCCCTACACTGGAGTCCTGACAGTGAATGGTGGGGTGCCTCCATCTCTGACCTCTGCTTGTGAGCCAGGCACTAGAACAGAGTGGTTTAAGCACTGTTTGTTTGAAAGCTGGCTCTGCCCTGCTCTGCTGTGTAATCTTTGGGTTGTTATTTAACCACAGCCAACATCACTCCCTGGTGAGGCAGCTTCCCAGGGCCTTCAGTGTCTGGCAGACCCTGGTTTTCCTTGGTGCTGCTTACCAGGTAGGTGAACACAGGCAGTTTTCTCATCTATAAAATTAGTGCCTACTCAGTGTGCCTGATTTAAGCCATGGTCTTTTCAACTACTTTCTATGCATTTGAAAATTTGACAATGAATCAGACAAGAGAAGAAGAATCAACAGTGCATCTAAATTCCAAAATCACTTCACCGAAGACAACATTCAGATGGCTAACAAGCACATGAAGAAATGCTCAAAATCCCTAGCCCTAAGAGAGATGCAAATTAAAACAACTATGAGATATCATCTCACCCCAGTCAAAATAGCAAAATTTAACAGAACAGCAAGCAACAAATGCTGGCGAGGTTGTGGAGAAACTGGAACCCTGATTCACTGTTGGTAGGAGTGTAAAATGGTGCAACCCCTGTGGAAAGCAGTATGGCGCTTTCTCAAAAAGTTGCAAATAGAGATACCATTTGACCCAGCAATTCCACTACTGGGAATATACCCTGAAGAGACCATAGCTGACATCCAAGCAGATATACGCACACCCATGTTTATTGCAGCTTTGTTCACAATAGCAAGGATTTGGAAACAACCTAAGTGCCCATCAACAAACGAATGGCTAGAGAAGCTGTGGTATATTCGCACAATGGAATACTATGCTGCATTGAAAAACAAGGAACTCATGCAATATTATTCAAAATGGTTGACTCTGGAGAACATTATGCTGAGTGAAATATCCCAGTCACAAAAGGAAAAATATTACATGATGCCACTGTTGTAGAATGGGACTAACCTCGAGGTTGGGGTGAGACTGAGTAAGATGGGTTCAATAATGTATATTGCACTGAAACAGAAGAGGGAGAAAACTGTTTAAAAGAGATATGTGACTAGGTATTTCTGTCATCACAGGAGTCTAGAGCGATGGCTCCATGGTGGAGGGGACCTGGGGGAGGGTTTGTAAAACAATGAAAGAATCTTTTCTTTTACTTTTCCATAATTTTTGACTCATGTACTTATAACTTATTAGTTAAATTTGTGTCTTCTAGGTTGCACCCCCCCACGATACATCTTCAAGGATATGAACATGTACGGCTAAGCACAATTAATAACAGTGCATCTAAACTCCAAAATCAATCTCCATAATAGTCTATGTGTTTCCTACTGCCAAAGGGGCCCTTTAGAGTAGTGAGAGAAGATCTTCACCCTGAAACCCACAGCGTCCCTTTTCAGCAGGAAGTAGCTAAGAGAATACGCCATCCCCTTTTCCTTATGAATCAGGGTGAAGTCTCTCTCAGGGAGGAGTGATAGGGAATGGCAAAGGACACACTGACAAAGGAGATTAATCAGAACTGACTTTGACAAGCACTGTGGCAATTGGACAATTAAAACAGACATTCGGATGGCGGGGGAAGAAGAACAAACTGGGGAGGAGGGTAGAGAGAATGGTGCAGTAATGAAGGAATGAAAACCCCAAATCCCTGTAAATGTTCATTAAAACTAATAAAATTTAATAATAATAATAATAATAATAATAAAAAATTACAAAATCAATCTCCACAATAGTCTGTGTGTTTCCTATTGCCAAAGGGGCCCTTCAGAGTAGTGAGAGAAGATCTTCACCCTGAAACCTACAGCATCCCTTTACATCAGGAAGTAGCTAAGAGAATAAGCCATCCCCTTTTCCTTATGAATCAGGGTGAAATCTCTCTCAGGGAGGAGTGACAGGGAATGGCAAAGGACACATTGACAAAGGAGATTAATCAGAACTGGCTTTGACAAACACTGTGGAAATGGGACAATTAAAACAGACTTTCAAAGAAAAAAAAGAGAGGAACGAACTGGGGGCAGGTGTAGAGAAAATAGTGCAACAATGAATGAATGGAAATCCAAAATCTCTGTAAATGTTCATTAAAATTAATAAAATAAAATTGAAAACAACAACAACAACAAAAACCCAACCAACCAACCAACCAAACCTAAAAAAAGAAGAATCGATGTTTTTGAACTGTGGTGTTGAAGAACATTGACTTTTCGATGGACTGCCAGAAGAACAAACAAGTCTGTCTTGGAGGAAGTGCAACCAGGGAGCTCCTGAGAGACAAG